CTTTCTCTGGGTGGCTTCACTTCAAGCTGCCGGAAGTGGATTTACATGTGATTTCAGGAGGCTCGGAGGGAAAAACTTTCTGCTAAACCAAACGGACGGTCGCGTTTGACGTCTCAAGTAGCCGCCAAAGTTGTTGATAAAAATTCTTAACGCACCCCCACCCCCCTTCCACGGCCCTCCCTTCACGCTAGCGCCTGGCAAAGCTTTTCTTTCCAGGCTGCATTCCGACTGATCATAGTTGTGTGTGACATTTCAAAGAGGATTAGCCGAATGAAATGTGATAAAAACTATTTCCACGTGACCCCGCAGCACTTGACCCACCCTCCTCCGGTAGGCTTGGCGGCGTAGCAACGAGGCTCAGACCGCCGCGACTCTGCACAATCCGGACGGAGCGAGCTTTAGCCCCCGATGACCTCAAACGGTCAACATACGGAAAAAGGAAAAAAAAAAAAGAGTCCATCGTAATTTAAGCGGGGGATAAACACGGATAAGTCGGGTCAACAGGAGGAAGGAGGACGGTGAACCACAAACACGCAGTGACAATTAATCCAAAGGTGAATTGTATCCCTCGGGGGATGCTGCGGATTCCTTGTCTATTGCAGAGGCGATTTTCTTTCATTTTTATGCTTAGTTTATAAATTCAAAGAAATTTTCATCAAACCATGGGAAACCTGAATACATACTTTTCTGTCCACTGCCGAGATTTTGGGTGCAGAGAAAAACAGTCCACAGTTTCATTTGTATTTCATTTAAATTACGTTTGGAGATGTCAATGTGTACCAACAATAATGTGGACAGTATTTCTTCCATTTTTTGATCCCACAGTTAAGCAAAAGGATTCATAGTTTTCCATCCAGCAGGCAGATTTCTTTTATGTCTTAAACACAGGTCACTTTCATGTTTATTACAGTATCTGGCACCTCAATGTGGCCCAACATTGTAGCTTCACTTTTGATGAAAATAGGACAGATTTTTGTCCTGCTGGTGAAAACAGAATGTCTACCACGGATTGGTAGTAGGCAGTCCGACGTCAAGCTTTCTTTTGTGCTGAAAAGACAGGTCACATACATTTGGATCCTATTTAAATTTCTAGCTGTTTTGTTATTGTATTTGACATCTCAGCATGGTATAAATCACGTATCTAAATTTTAGCTTTTGATGGTTCCACATTTTTTTTGTATCTCACCAATTTGACACCTGTTGGACACCATGGCTTTATCGTCGTCTGCCCACCAGCAAGATTCTTTTGTTCGCTTTTATTTGAATCCTATTCACATTCATTGTTTACAGTACTTGACTTCTCAACGTGAGCCAAAAGTAGATACCAGATACCCGAAACACTTGTAGGTGCAGATGACAAAATCTATCTCAGTGCTATCAAAAGAGGACATTTTGAAGGGACAAAATTAACCCTTTCATGCACCCTGTAACCTGATAACATGGTAAGCCGTCCACTGTATTAAACGCTGTCCCTGAACGGGTTTAAAAACAATAACATTTTGTTTCCTTTGTGTTTAAAAGCAGATGCGGACCAGCGAAAGTCTGCTGGACGCTCCTTAAACGAGGCTGTAATTAAGACAAATGCATTAGTCAATGAGGAGCTGGAGAATCAGAGGACGGGTGTACAGTGTAGTGGAATTTTGTGCAGCATGTGCAAAGTTGTTGACATAAATATGAACTTTAGACCTAATATGGATCACTTAGGAGCACAATTGTCTGTTGGCCTGACCAGCAATGATGGAATGGATAAAACGGATTTATACTCTCAGAAAACAAGCAGTAAAAATAATTGTTGTACCGTGTGTATAATCCGTCAAAAATAGGTAAACCTAAAGATACATTTGAATTTTTTTCTTTTATTGTGCAGATTTGGTATCGTATTAATATTCGAGGGCCGCCTATGGAGTACAAGTTAGTTGACTGCAACCAATTGCCGTTGTTGCATTATCGTGCGTTTATCACTTGTGGCCAACACAAACAGCTGTACGCGCTGCAACATGTTGACAAAGCAGCCAGGGCTCATTGCGGCGTGATGGATGGCCGCGTGCTAATTATTAGCACACATAAAAGGATGCTGTTATTTCCAGACGCGGGCCCCGGCCGCCGGCTAAATGCAGAGCCATCAGTCTGCGACTATATCACTCAATCTTGATGTATGAACGCGGCGGTACAAATTAAATGCACAGCAACCTTCTGGAGGGGGTTACTGCACTCAACACGACGCCATTTGGGCTAATTTCTGCACAAGGGGTTCGGACAATAGTCCCCTATACCACATGGTGTAATTACTTTGTGTACACACATCTGGAATTAAGCTCCCAGAGGAAGCTAATACTCCAGGAAAAAAAAAAAATTGCAGGCCAACTGTTTTTGGTAGAACGAAAGGTGTGGCGATTCAAGCGTGGCGGTGAATTGAAACCTCTCCGTGTCTCAAAGATAGTTCTCGGCGCCAAGCGGGTCCAGCTTGCGCACGAGCCTCGGAGAAGATTACACATCTTGTACCCAATTCCTCCTACTCGGGTCGGAGCTTCTATTTGGGCACGCTAAGGCCCCACTTTGCATAATCAGCGGCCGTACGATGCAGCGTGTGCAGGAGGGGCGAAACAATTTGCCGATCTTTTGGAACAAGCAGCATCTGGATTTCATTGCTGCTCCATTTTCTCCACCAGATCAAAAAAACGCAGACTTTTAACTCGGGACCAATAACGAGCCACAGGTGGGAAAAGACCCAAAATATTCAAAATGTCAATTTGCATCCCAGAAATATGCACCCACGATAACCAGTCGGGAAGTGCGTTATAATCAGTTAATTGATTACTAAGAATTTGGTCGATTGTGTGAAATTGATTGCTGAGTCATTTTGAAGTAATTACGGAAAAATCAACCAACAGAGCGACTTTTTATTTACTAGCAAGTAAACTTAAAAATAAAAATGAATGTGATATCAGCCATTGAAGGCTGAGCTGCATACACAAATGTGAAAACTGCTCTGGGCAATATTATTCTGATCAAAATGATCAACTCAAAAATTCATATTTAAAATAGATCGGAAATACGTACATAAATGAACAACTCCAAAAATGATTTCCATTTAATCAACCAAATAAATGTAGTCAAAACAACTTCCGTGTCAAGTATTGTAACACTGGGGTACAAATATTTATAACTTTATTGATAGTTTACTTGTACAAGATGTACATTCATATTTTGTGACTCAAAAAGGGAATGGGGCAAAAACAAACAAACAAACATGGTTCATGTTTAAGCATGCTAACAAATGAAATAAGCATTGTCACAACAAATTCCGTTTTTAAAATTCAACCATCCCTGAAGTTTGTAAACTTGGACACGCTACATGAAGTCTTTTTTTTTTTTTTTGGTGGGGGGGGTTGTTTTTTTGTTTTTGTTTTTCTTCCTCTCAGGACAATGCACCACAGCCAAACCCCCGATTCATTAAAAAAAAAAAAACAAAAAAAAAAAAAAAAAAAAAGTTAATGCAAAACAAAAGCAAGGTAAAAATAGTCAGTCGTAGTTCAACTCTTTCATTTTTCAAAGACTTTCGGACAGGAATAATAAATAAAACACGCAAATGTTAATTTAAGATTGAGACATGAACAATTTGTAATGAGCGTTGAACAGAAAGTAAGTGGGCGGGGTACGTAGCCCTTGCGAGGACCGGAGCTCTGACAGTAGTTTGGAAAACAAGAGTCATAATCCAAAATATTTTGGCAAATTAACGATGAATGTCACACACACACAACATGCAAAGTAAAGCTAATCGTTTTGTAAACAACCACTTGGTTCAGATGTCACGGCTGCGTTTTGTAAGTCGTCATGAATGTCATTTCAGCTGAACACGCTGGAGTTTACGCGAAATATGGCACCCTGTCGTTCTCCAATGCGACAAAATGTACACGCCGCCTCGAAAAAAACCGGACGGCAAGTCGAAACTCCCAACAGTGCATGAAAAAAAAAACAACGTAACATCATCGCCTCTCTTTATCGACTAACTGCTCGCTGTTTAACATTTTTTCGCTATTTACAGTATTGCACTTAAACTGCACACCATTGCATTTCAGTTTTACTGATGCCTTCATATTTTTCAGAATTACAAAAAAAATTTTCGAAAATAGAAACGTACTGCTTAACAAATGTATTTGACCGCCAAAAAGAACCCAAATCCTGCATAACGAAGAGATTTCTCCATGTTTGAAGAGGAATGAGGAATTTCTGAGCACAATTCACTTTTTATCAATAAATTTGAGGGGGAAGACTTGGCAAAATGAATCATACCTAAATTCAAATGTTAAAATGTTCACAGCTTTTCTTCTTCATCAATATATAATTATGTGTTTTACCTTTTTTTCTTCAACTTTGATATCTTAGTGTTAAAAATATCCTTTTGGTTAAAGATCTTCCTCACACTGCTTTTAACAACATTAGGGCAGCTATGCTATAACCTTGGGCTGGGTGGTGGTCGAATACATTTGTTAGGCACTGTACAACGCAATTATACCCTTCATCTTTTTTTTTTTTTTTTGTGGATCACATATGACTCAGATCAAATCCCCCCACCCCACCCCCACTTTAATTTAATAAAGTAGCATCTTGCTTGTAGTGCCATTTGTAAACACCCACAACATACGAGACCTGAAGTGCAAAGGCGATCTTCACTTCTTCACCCGGGATAGAAAGAAACAAAAGCCCGAGAAGGAAGCGGGAGGAAGTCCAGAACAATAAACAAAACAAAACGGAAAAAAGGTTGAAGTTGTTGCTTTTGTTATATCACAAGTCCATACGAAGAAGAGAAGCGGGTGTTCGGGGCCTTTTGGGGGCAGGGTTGTATGTGAAAGTAATGGCGAGCTTTGCAGGAAGGCCTCCATGCACGGACACAGTGGTTGCAAATAAATTTGTTAACGGCAGAGAAGAGGTCAGGACGGGTGGGGTGTGGAGTTGTGCCCCCAGTGTTGCCCCCCCCCTCCCCCTCCTACACCCACCCACTCAACCGTCCTCAACATTGCCCGTCGCCTGCCACTGTAATTGACACTAAAGTCCTCAGTGTGTGCCGGGCTCTCAGACAGACATCCACATGTGTTTGTACGGTCCCTGGGATGCGATCTGTGCCTGGAGTGGACTGAGCCACTGGCCCCGCAGAAGTCCTGCCTGTTGGGCGAAAAGTAAAAGGTGACTTCATTGGTATTTCATTACCGCTTCGCTGGAAAAGTGGTTTGTTTTGGCAGCTGGTCTTTTGTGACAATTTTCTCGCTCCCCCTCCTCCCTTTTTGTTCAAAAAAATCTTCCTCCGACTGTTCCTCCCCCCCAGAAAACATACACATTCTCCGACGCGTCTACTTTCTCGCTCAGTGTTTGTGTTTAGTTTTATCTGTGAGTTTCACGGCCCTTTCACAGGCGCAGTCTTGTGTGAGAGGCCTCGGCGTGTTTCCTTGCCTTGAGTCGCAGGTCGGCGATGCTGGAGTTCTTGCTGTTGCTTTTGGCGGCCGCCGCCACCGCCGCCGCCGCCGAGGCCGAGTCGGCCAGCGAGGCGATTGGTAGTCCAAAGGGAGGGGGCGGGAACATCAAGTAGGGGGCGTGGGCGGCCAGGTGCGGGTGCAGGTGGGGGTGGGAGTGGGCGACGCCGTCCAGCTGGAGTTGCGCTTGAACCTGCGAGAGCAAAGAAATAAATAAAACTAAATAAATGATGCAAGTTGTAACCAGGGTTGCTTGGTTACAGGTCTCTAACTCAGGAGAGAAGTGTTTCGACTTCTCCGAGGGCTGCATCCAAACAAATGGAAAGATATAACTTTGAAATTCTTCAGCTTTCTTGAATTTATTAAAGGCACCAAACCAATCCATCAAGCAATGATTGTGTTCTACTGCTACATCACAGCTTTTTGCTAAAAGTGGTAAGGCAAATAGTTTTTTTTCAAAGCTTTAAGGTGGGCCACGGCCATGTAGGGGCTAGACCGGGCTTCAGATTCAAATCCAAAAAACAAAAACTGTCTTGGAATATTTTCATATGGTGTGTGTATTATCCTCCTCGCTGCCCATCTTCAAAACCCGCCTCAAAACTCACTTGTATTCTTTGGCATTTGATTCAGCATGACTTAGATTGTTCTTGGTTTTGCTGTTCGGTGCTTTCTACTGTTTTTATTACCGATTTGCTTTACTGTTTGTTGTATATGTTAATTTGCTCCATGTACAGCACTTTGAATGCGGAGTTGAGTATTACAATGAATCCCATCCCGCAAAGCCGGAGCAAGTGTGTGGGCGTGTGTTTAGTGTATGTAAAACTTTGTGCAATGCAACCTGTGATGATACACTTTTATTTTGTGGACATTTGTCATAGTGTGGCTTTTCCTGAAGATGAGTGCAATGAGATTAGGTTTCACACTGTGATGCAATTAAAACGTAACCTCAATTACCCGTTTTCTTTCATTTCACTCTTTTTGTTTTTTTTTTTTATTCTAAAACTTAATGAATCATACGTCTCTCTCTCTCTCTCTCTCTCTCTCTCTCTCTCTCTCTCTCTCGCCCTCCCTTTCTTACTGTTACAAACACACATTTCACACACAAACATACTCTGACATGTGAAATTGCATTGTCCAGAATCAGTGTTTCTGAGGCCCAGAACATATTTGACTTCATTCAGTCCACCGTGATACCCTTGAAATACGCCATCTTGTTCTGCTGATTATGCATTCGATTGCATCAATAAACTATTTTTTGCACTAAAAAGATACTCACATATTTGGAGTTATAAATATTTATCCAGACATATTCCTGAGTCAAAGGCGGCGCAGGAGGATTAAAGAAAGAAAAAAAAAAGGCCACAAAGAGCATGGCATATCCCTTTTCACATTCTGGGCAATTATTTCCTAATAGAAGGAGGTGAAAATAAAACGTGCTGACTTCAGAAGAAGACAACACTGCCATTTTTTATGTGTTTCAAACGGCACATGAAGAAGTGGGAAACTATTTTGTGCTTTGCCTTTCCAAACCAAATAGAAGCTTTAACTTGACCATATATGGGTTTTTTTTTTAATTCTTTTAGCCTAAAATACTGAAAATAAAAATGACAGTTCGACACTGTTTCCAGTTAGAGTTGCTTCGCACCTCAAGGGCAAACAAACATTGTGACGAACTGATTAAAAACTACATTAAGTCACTTTCTTAGGGGGAGGCGGCACCACCTAAACAAAAAACAGGTGGTCCAACTGTCTCACGCAAAACCAAAAAAACATGATGAACATTTGTTTTTGCTGTTTCGGATGAAACCCAAAAAATTACACATTTCAAGATTTCTTTTTTTTTTTTTCAGTACACAGCAACAGAATGCAAAGGAGTGATTGTTTTTTGTTTTTTTGTTTTTTTATGAATAGACATTTACATTG